TATTATCGACAGTTTGGTAGCCTTTCCTAAACCCAGCCCTTTCTGGTGTAATAATGTTTTCATGTGTCGCCCATTCGGTCAGTCTGGAACAAATAATTTTAGAGAATATTTTCCCTGAAACTTCTTATAATGTTATAGGTCTATAGTTTTCTGGAGCATTTACATTACCATTTTTAAATATAGGAATAATAGCGAAATGAATGGGCAGGTATTTTTGGATTGGTTCGAACATCACCTTTCACCGCAGCTGGATGAACCAAGCGTTATCATTTTCGATAAGGCCAGTAACCATAGTCTGCGTGTCACTGGTACCATCACATCCACCATGAGCAATCTCAAGGCTCAGTTGCAGGATTTTCTCACTTCCTGTAACGTGCCCTACAGGCAATCAGAAACAAAGCCCCAGCTCATGGAAACAATCCGGCAGCACAAAATGCCAAGCCAGTACATCACTGACGAACTAGCTGCGAAACAAGGCCAGATAGTTCTGCGTACACCAGTACAGCACTGTGAGCTCAACCCCATCGAGCTGATCTGGGGGAACTGTAAGAATTTTATTGCTCGCAATAATACCACATTAACGCTTTCAGACGTTAAAGAGCTTGTGTATGCTTCTTTCGCGAGAATTACTCCTGAAGTGTGGCAAAAGGCTGAAGACAGTGTTCTCAAAATCGAGGACGAATATCGTCTGCGGGACGGCACTAACGTCAGCCGAGTTGCACTTGTTGTAATTCCGCTAGAGTCCTCGACCAGAAGTGATACTGACACTTGATATTTTGAGACGGTCCCTGACATGCACTGCCTGTGCGTTACATAACGCTGTCACCCTGTCTGCCTGCCAGGGGGATCACAGTATAGTTTGTTTCTTTGAAGTGTTTCTACCATGGAATTTTTTCTAAGTTTTTCGATATTTTACGAGTAATCATTATGATTAGGGAATCGTGATTATTCATATGCCTTATTAGGTCGAGGTGGTATGAATGATTATATTTGAGTTTTGAATCTGAAATATCAACCATGATCAAACAATTGCCAAAAAGCATTTTCCAAGCATTAGGCCTAGATGGACTGCAGCATGCTCTCCGTAGTCGAATCTCGTACGGTCAAAGTCTAGGGCGTGTATCTCTGACATCTTGGCCGCAGTAGCTAGGGCGAAGAGGAACAGCGTCTTTTGAGTTAGCAACTCAAATGTTGTCTGCATCAGCAGCTCGTATACATCACTGATGAGGTGCGTTGAGATCCCATGTTGGAGCAACACGACGAGTTCAGGAACCTTAGTCAACTTCATCCCTGGGGGGAATGGTGATGGCCGAGCTGATCGCCGCCAGGTAAGTAGACAGCCTAGAGCCCTTCAGATGTCTAGTATACCTCAGGTGACACAGGTAGTCTGCTACTTGTTTCTGGACGTGAACCCCTTACGAACAGCATACTGGTCGAAACTTCTCCACTTGTCGTCATACAGGTTACATGTAGATCGACATGAGGCCAGTGTCACTGCCTTGGCTGCTCTGGTGGAGTACACTCGTCTCTGTAAGCAGTGCGTAATATGCTCCATACCTGTAGCTGGAACGCTTCTGGAACGCCATGCCATAGCTTGGTGTGAGGGTGGACGAAAGTAGATTTGGCCAGTCAGGGGAGTTGTAGTGCTGGCTTGCCGTGCTGCTCTATGAGGTCTGGAAAGCAGGATCTCGCCCGCCAGTAAGGCGCGAGCAAAGTCACTTGTATGATCTTGCATAGTACTTGCGGTAGCAGGATCAGTGGAGGGAATGTGTAAGCGTTTAGTCCCTCCCAGGGCGTCGACAGCCCATGCTAGCGGATGTGGCACTGGCGAGATGAACGTTGTCACCTGATGGTTGAAACGGGTTGCAAACAGGTCGATAAGAGGATGGCCGAGTCCTGCTGTCAACAACTGGATCGCCTCTGGATGCAGCATCCACACTGTGGGAGACGGCCGGACCGATCAGGATAAGGCGTCAGCTAAGTCGTTCTTCGCCCCTGAGATGTGGCAGGCAAACCTCTGGACATCGTCTAGTGCCCGTAGCTGCAATCTTCCTCTGTGTGTGAGAGCCTCGCCAACGTCAGTAGACCCAGGAGTCGTTGCCATGCTATTAAATCTAGTGGAGAGTTGAGGGCGTCTGGTATGCACGACTGGATGCTCTGCCATCGGTCGTCTGGAACCAGGATTCTCTGATGAAGTGCTTCATATTGAAGATGAGACAAAACTTCTCTTTGGAGTTCTTTTTGGGCACCAGGAAAATTGGAGGGTAATATCGGGGGCGTAAGTCTGCATTGATTGACGACCTCTACAGCCTCCTTCGTCAGCAACATGTCAATGGCCTCGGTCAGCTTGGCCTGCTGCAACTCCAAGATGGATACTGGTAGACCAACGGGTTGACGGTCAGTGGCGGCGTTGACTGCAACTGGATACTGTAGCCCTCTCGTAGAACCTCAATGACGTAGTCGTGTTGTAGTACTCTCCAATTTTCCCAGTAGAGACTCAGACGTCCACTCACGGTTGACGGTTGTACAGGACTCTGCATATCAATAACGGGACCTCCGAGCACCACCAGAAAAGCGCCCACAGCCGGAGTAGCTTCTGTTGTTACTGGAGCGACGAAAAGGCCCGAGTTGCCGCCCCGTGCTACTGGATTTTGTTCTCCTTGGAACGCTTTATGCCGGAAAAGCAGGACCGTAACTGATTTTGCTGAGATGACTGTCGAAACATGTTCTTCGTCTGGAGGGACTTGATCAACATAAAGTCGTTGGAGTCTTGCATCACCTAATGGGATAACCGCCGGAAGCTGCCGTCAAACAGAGTAGGCATTGCCCAGGGTTTCCACAGGAGAGGGTTGATGTAGACCTCCGGTCATGTACAGGAACTCAGCAATCCCTGACGTCGTAGTAGTGTAATGCCCGTAGAGGCCAAGTGGCATCTAAGTAGTGTAATGCCCGTAGAGGCCAAATGGTCTTTACGCTGCGTGACGAACGTAGACAGGATCATCCTATGGTTCTTGAATGTGCTCAAAAGCGACTCGTTGATGGTCCTGGACCTTGTTAGCCTGAAGAACGCCCCTCCAGGTGGTTGTATCCAGCTGCGCCAACTTCATATCTTCTACACTGTAACTGCGGGACTTCGAGTCGGAGACCAGGTAGAAGTCCTCGTCTACTTGAGGCGCCTTGGTGAAGTGGTGATGTCAGAACCTTCGTGTGCTAAACTGTGGAATGTGCTGCCCCTGCGTCTTCAATTCCTTGCCGAACACTGTCTTCAGGTTGTCTGCTACCTGGGCGATGGGCTTCATTGGCGGGATGGTGATTGAGTCGAAGTTATCTTCCCGCATACAGTACGTCTCGGCCGGGTTGGAGTATCTGGTCGGGATAGCGGGAGGCCGTCAGCTACCCAAGACAGTACCTCGGCATCAGTGTAGATGTAGGCGTCGCCCTCAACATGATGCCCCTCATCAAATGCCGGACCTGGATGTGTGTCATCTGCGTTGACTGCTGACGATGCGGCGAAGGACCAGTCTGCATTGCTCCTCAGACTGGAAGGGGATACTTCCTTCTCGCCCTCTGCAACACTGCCATCGAGAGTCGTCTGCTTCTTCTCCAGGTCAAACCTCTTCTCCATGGCCTGGACCACCCGCCGAGTGATGATGTCAACGAAGTTGTCTGCGTGGAAAGCCTCTGTGTTGGTCAACATACGCTGCTGTTGAACGACTGCAACGGACTCATCTGCAGACATATGCAACAGGGTAGCATTCTCAAACGCTAACGGGTTCTCGGCTGACTGCTGCTGCAGTTGGAACTGCAACGACACCTGCTGGTGCAACTGGATCTGCAACGGCATCGGTTGACTGCTAGCAAGAGGGTTCACCGACCCCAATGATTTAACAGCAGTGCTGCAAGTGGTAGATTCCAATGACGACATCGGCGACGAAGTACATCTGATCTGCGCTGACCGGTTAGCAACCCCGGAAGACCTCTGCGAAGACTCAAGGAAGACCTCCAACTGGAGGGTCGGGATAGTTGGAGAGATCTGCTTTAGTACCAGGTGCCGAGACGTCTCTCGAAGATCGCTGCGTAGAGGGATGATGCGACGACCTCAAAGACTCCGCTGACTGACGATCTAGAAGATGGCCTGGATGATGACGACTGCGTCACTGAAGGAGACAGCTGATACTTCTTATACTGCGACCACCTCTCTGCCGGAGGAGGCTTCCTCTTACTTGAGGTAGATGGAGTTACTTCCTTCAGTACGGGAGATGGCGCAGACCTCGACTGAGTCGACATCGTAGATACAGGATACGGTTATCAGTAGACGTAGGCCGCCACAACTCACAACACCAGAGACTGTACCTCCTTTCTCAACGCAGGCTAGCTGGACCTGACAACAGGTTGTGTGACTTTAGTGTCAAAGTTTCAACTCAAATGTGAAAAGTTTACAAGGAAATAATGACATTTCAAACACAATATGAAGTCATAAAATTCAAAATTATATGATTATATACAGTAACCAAGCATCAAAGGAATAACCAAACCCTGAACCAGCTATAGAAGAACACCCAAGGTGTGAATCAAACGCTGAGACGAGATGAAGGCAATGTTTACATTCTAAAATGTAAACAAAAAGTCACCTGTAACGGAGTGAAAACGTGAATTAATTTGATATAATACATACAAGTTTTGTTACAATTATGATAAAGAACACCAAAAGCATTCACGGCAGATTTTGAGCTATATATCCAAAAAGAATTGAGTTATAAGCCGCAAAGGGACCTTGAAGAAACCGCCCAACCGTCCGCTAGGGCGATAGATGTGAGGGTGAGGACATGCAGAGGTCACGTGGGTGCCGCTGGCGGGAAAAGGGAGGTAACTCGAGGGTGAGTGATTGTAAGTTCGCTTAAAGGAATTGAAGGGATTCAAGTTTCCACTTAACCGTTCGGAAGAGAGGAATGAGAAAGCAAATAAGCAGAGCCAGGATAAGGAAAAAAATCGAGGTTTTTCTAATTGGATGCTTTTCATGTAATGTCAAGTATTTAATCATTATTTCAATCTTTTACTCAATGTTTTAAGTTATTTAAAAATCACGAAATTTCGAGTATATTCTCGTTTCTTCCTGTTTTGTAAATCATATCATTTTGTTTTAGGAGCATGAGCTTTCGACACTGACTTCAGTGAGTATCACATGACTCAAGCTCTAAACTTGTATCACATGCAGTATACAGCGTGTCGCGAGCAGTGTGTGTCACTGGTAATGTGTAGTCACGCATCTTGTTCGGCAATTCGAAGCTCTGCAAACACAAACTTACCGAAATCGTCCCAGTGACGAGGCATTCCTGCAAACACAAACAAAACATCTTAGTATTACCAGTTCAAGAACTGTTTGGTGTAGGGGGCGGGATTGATCATTTTAGCAATAAGTACTATTCGGCTGTTGTTTTCCTTCTGCCTGCAAATTTGCCCTTTCCCCCAAATGTAATATGTCTAAAGACTGGTCATTCTTATTTTACTGATATTGCATTGAAAAATAACAACATAATAATTGATTACTTATACTTGAATGACAGAAATGAGGCTTGTTCCAATGGAATGGGTTGGAAACGCTATTATTGTTTTTAAAAAAACAACAACGTTGCAACAAAGGTACAACAATAAATAATGGAAAAACTAAAACATCTTACAGATATATTATTATTCTTTTGAACACATACCCTTTGCAAGCTTTCTGATATTTTTTTATTAGATTTATGTACATGGTACTCCAGATTGAGTTTAAGTATCAATAAACACCGTAAGTGCGAGTTTGTTTTTGAAACTCTATTGATATACGTGAAATTGGAAATATAGCCCTGAGAATCACGAATTCACTAATTGATACACTCCTCCTTGTCCCACGGGTGCTTCTATTTCACTGTCTCCGTCAACATTGTTACGAGATAGTGTTATACCCTGTGCACCAATGCTTCATCTTTCATACACTGTACCTGTAGATTCAGTAAGGGGAAGGGATGTGCTATATTTACACTTGTTTTAGATGTAGACAGAAGGATCTGGCAAGTGCTCCTATGAATGGCCGATTTGGCAAAATATGAGACAGATGACTCACATGACTCAAGATCTAAACCTGTATCACATGCAGTATACAGCGTACCGTGAGCAGTGTGTGTCACTGGTACTGTGTAGTCACACATCTTGTTCGGCAGTTCGAAGCTCTGCAAACACAAACTTACCCGAATCGTCCCTGTGAAAAGGCATTTCTGCAAACACAAACAAAAGATCTAGTATCAGTTCAAGAACTGGTTGGTGTAGGGGGGCGGGATTGATCATTTTAGCAATAACAGTTCAGCTGTTGTTTTGCTCCTGCTTGCCAATTTGCCCTTAGAACCAAATGTAATGTGTCTGAAGACTGGCCATTCTCATTTTAGTTACATTGTATTAAAGAACTATTACATAAAAAATTACTTATAATTCATTGCAAAAATGAAGCTTTTTTCTAATGGAATAGGTTAGAAACGCTATTACTGTTTTTAAAAAAAAAACCAAAACATCGCAACAAAGGTACAACAATGAACAATAGAAAAACTAAAACATCTTACAGATGCTTTAATACCTTTGAACACATACCCTAATGCAAGCTTTCTGATATTTGGAGACCCGTGAAGATCCGGGGTAGAATAGGTCTTCAGCAACCCATGTGCTTGCCATAAAAAGGCGACTATCTTGTCGTAAGAGGCGACTAACGGGATCGGGTGGTCAGTTTCGCTGACTTGGTTGACACATGTCATCGGTTCCCAATTGTGCAGATCGATGCTCATGCTGTTGATCACTGGATTGTCTGGTCCAGACTCGATTATTTACAGACCGCCGCCATATAGCTGGAATATTGCTGAGTGCGGCGTAAAACTAAACTCACTCACTCACTCTGATATTTGGAACACGAAAATTTATAATTAATAGTCAGATTTATATACAACGTACTCCAGATATGGGTTTAAGCACAAATACACATCGTACGTACGGGTTTATGTTTAATACTCTATCGATACACGTCAAATTGGAAATATAGCTCTGAGAATCACGAACACACTAATACACTCCTATTACTCCCATTAATGCCTTTATGGCCGATTTGGCAAAATATGAGACGGATGACTCACATGACCCAAGCTCTAAATTTATATCAAATGCAGTATACAGCGTGTTATGAGCAGTGTGTGCCACTGGTATAGTCCGTGTGCCTCAAAAGCGGATAGTTTTTTCAGAATTTATGTCCTAAAAATATATAAGTTGTTTAACAAACTATCATCAAAATATTTACAGTTCACTATTACGAGGGAGGAGTGCAAAGAGAGAAAACAGCAAGGAGTACGAGAAACATGTGCACAAGTGTCGACAGAGTTATTGATTCATTTACCTATGCTGTACCGGCTCCATCCTGTCTCGTGCTGTCGAAACCTGAATGATAGAACGCAAAGAAGTAACTGCATATTTCACGAATTTCACGATTTCGAATTTCAACTATTTTAATGTTGCATCAAATTTCTAGTTTTTCTAATCTGATTCTGTTCCTGTGATGTCAATTATTTCCTCATTATTTCACGCTTTTACTCATTGTTATTATTTACAAATCACGAAATTTCGAATATTTTCTCGTTACTTACTGTTTTGTAAACTATATCATTTTGTTTTAGGAGCATGAGCTTTCTACATTGACTTCAGTATCACATGAATCTAGCTCTAAACTTGTATCACATGAATCAAGCTCTAAACTTGTATCACATGAATCAAGGTCTAAACTTGTATCACATGCAGTATAAAGCGTGTCGCGAGCAGTGTGTGTCACTGGGAATGTGTAGTTACTCACACCTTCTTCGGAAATTCGAAGTTCTGCAAACACTTACCCGAAGAGTACAAGGGAAAAGGCATACCTTCAAACACAAACAGAACTGGTTGCTGTCGGGAGCGGGATTGATCATTTTAACAATAACAGTTCGGATGTTGTTTTGCTCCTTCTTGCCGTTTGCCCTTTCCCCCAAATGTAATAATTATGTCTAAATACTGATCATTCTCATTTTACTTACATTGCATTGAAATAGCTATTACACAATTGATTACTTATACTTTATTGAAAGAAATGAGGCTTTTTCCCAATGGAATGGGTTTTTAAACCCAACAACCTCACAACAAAGGTACAACGATGAACAATATGAAAACTAAATCATCTTACAAATGCTTTAATACTTTTAACATATACCCTATTGCAAGCTTTCTGATATTTGCAACACCAAATTAAAAAAAATATCAGTCAGAGTAAACATCGTAAGTACGGGTTTGTGTTTGAAACTCTATTGATATACGTCTAACTGAAAATATTATAGCACTGAGTATCACGAATACACTAATACATTCTATTTCACTTTCTTTGTCTACATTGTTACGAGACAGTGTTGTACCTCGTGCAACAATGTTTCATCTTTTATTTACTGTACGTGTATATTGAGTAAGGGGTAGGGGCGTGCTTTTTTTTTTACTTGTTATAGATGTAGACAGGAGGATCCAGAAAGTGCTCCAATGAGCTTATTCCAGAATTATGTTCCTTAGAGGATTATATAGGGAGAGTTACTTGTTCCCTCCCATATCACATTACATCTCAAGAAGAACAGCACTGTATGTGATGGTCATACCCTGAATACACTCTGCTTAACCCTTTCTTCCATGTTGGAATACGGTTGCTGAGAGGTGAATATTACCGTCATAGTCTTTATTGCTATAATTAAGTAGTCCCGCTAAAATCATAAACAGTGTCATACACAACACAATTTCCGAAAAATGATATAAATAGTCAGGAATTACCATAATGTTTCTTTTCAGTTTTGACACAGTCATGAACAGAAGAAAACACCATTTCATGAACGATGCTGTACCTAGTATTTTTGCTTGGTCTACACAGGCAGACACAGCTACATCTCGTGACGGAAATCGACGTCCTTCCGTTCGATCAACCATTTATGCCTTTATGGCTGATTTGGCAAAATATGAGGCAGATGGCAGCATCACAACAACGGTACAACAATGAAAAATTCAAAAACTAACTCATCTTACAAATGCTATAATACTTTTAACACATACCCTATTGCAAGCTTTCTGATATTTGCAACACAAAAGATTTAAAATCATTAGGCAGATCTATATATACACCGTACTCAAGATATGAGATTAAGTACCAATAAACATCCTAAGTTCCGGTTTGTGTTTGAATACGTCCAATTGGAAATATTATAGCACTGAGAAACACGAATAAACGAATACACCCCTCCTTCTCCCACTGGTGCTTCTATTTCACTGTCTCCGTCTACATTGTTGCGGGATAGTGTTATAACTTGTGCAGCAATGCTTCATCTGTCATACGCTGTACCTGTAGATTCAGTAAAGGGTAGGTGCGTACTATATTTACTCTTATTCTAGATAGAGACGGAAGGATCTGGCAAGTGGTCCAAGGAGCTTATTCCAGAATTATGTACCTAAGAGGAGCATATAAGGGGAGTTACTTCTTGCCTCCCATTTCACATTCCATCTCAAGCCACAAGAAGAACAGCATTGTATCTGTCTCACAGTCCCTGAACCACATTAATTTCCCTAATGCCTAGCCCTCCCTGCAATGTTAAAGCCCCAAATGAAGCAAGTCTAGATTTTCCCACGTTCTGAATCTCCCTTCTCACTGGGACTCCTTTTCAAATTAAATGGGTTTATTTGTTACTATCATAATTATATATATTCCAGGACTAAGCGTTAGTCTGTATCAGATGGTCATATCCTTGATACGTTCTGCTCAGCCCTTTCTTCCAAGTTGGATTACTGTTGCTGAGAGGTGAATATTACCATCATTGGCTCTATTGTTATAATCACTGCTCCTTTATTGAATTACCTCTACATGGGCGATCTTTTTGGAGTTACCTCCGCAAATTAACCCGCGAGGTTGCACTGTGCCAGTCGGCCCACCCTGTTATTTCCGCTCGTCAGTTTACATTGGAAACGCAAAGCAACTGGCAATCTTCGACACAGATTTCTCACTGATATTCACTATGCCTAGATCCCGTTGTTGTGTTCTGATGTGTTCAAACAGAGGGGGATATATTTTCCCATTCAAGAAATCTCTCTGAAATAAATGGATTGTAGCGGTGAAAAGAGATTTATGGCAACCGACGAACCACTCTGTTGTGTGTGCAGCACACTTAGTTACGACGACTTCGTCGCGTTCAACCCATGTAAACTTGATGAGGTTATGAGGTTAGAGTATGTGTATTGAAAATATTTGGTTCACATAAACATATAATTATTTTGTACAATAGTTTTATTTCGAGTTCATCGTAAATGTTGAAATTGCAAACAAACGTTATATATGGAAACATGAGATAGCACGAGTACTGAAAGTCATAAAAGAAAGCGGCTGACAACAGAGCACCAAGTAATCTCGCTAAAATCATTAACAGGTCATACAAAACAAGATTTCCGAAAAGTAATTTAAATGATCAGGAATTACAATAATGCTCTTTTCAAGAAGAAAATGCCATTTGAAGAAGGATGCTGTATCAAGTATTTTCGCTTGAACAGCACAGACAGACACGTGACAGAAATCTACGTGCTTCCGTTTGATCAACCTTTAATGCCTTTAGGGACGATTTAGCTCTAAACTTGTGTCGCATGCATTATACGGAGTGAGCAGTGTGTGCAACTGGTATAGTCCGTTTGCTTCAAAAGCGGACCGATGAATTGCAATCTAACTCGAAAACTATTAAACATATAATACTCAATGAAACGCTGACCATAATTAAAACATCAGATCAACTCTGTGATTTTTTGCCGAATTTATGTCCTAAGAACAAAAACAGTTGTTTAACAAACTATCATCAAAATATTTACACAGTTCACTATTTGTTACGAGGGAGGAGTACAAAGAGAGGAACAGCCAGGTGTACACGAAACACGAGCACAAGTGCCGACAGAGTTATTGATTCATTTACCTGAGCTTTGCCCTATCCGTACTGTTTTGCACACCGGGCTGTCGAAACTTGAATGATAGAACGCATATTTCAAGATTTTTCAAAAATTTCGAATTTCAACTATTTTCATGTTGCATCAAATTTTTAGTTTTTCTAATTTGATTCTGTTCCTGTAATGTAAATTATTTTCTCATTATTTTACGCTTTTACTCATTATTTTCAGTTATTTAAATATCACGAAATTTCGAATATTTTCTCGTTACTTACAGTTTTGTAAATTATATCATTTTGTTTTAAGAGCATGAGCTTTCTACACTGACTTCAGTGAGTATCACATGACTCAAGTTCTAAACCTGTACCACATGCAGTATACAGCGTGTTGCGAGCAGTGAGCGCCACTGGTTATGTGTAATTACCCACATTTTGTTTGGCACTTCGAAGCTCGGCAAACACAAACTTACCTCTAAATACACTGGAAACTTCCTCCACTGCAAACACAAACAAAACAAATTAGTAGTATCAGCTCAAGAACTGGTTGGTGTAGGATACGGGGGTGATTGATCATTTTAGCAATATCTGTTCAGATGTTGTTTTGCTTCTGCTTGCAAATTTGCCCTTTCCCCCAAATGTAATGTGTCTGAAGACTGGTCATTCTCACTTTGGTTACACCGCATTGAAATAAATATTACATACTTGATTACTTATACTTTATTGAAAGAAATCAGATTTTATCCGGTGAAATGGGTTGGAAACGCTATTACTGTTAAAAAACAACAAGATCGCAACAAAGTACAACAATGAATGGGAAGACTAAAACATCTTACAGATGCTTTGATGATTTTGAATACTGCAAGATTTCTGATATTTGCAGCACAAAAGCTTAAACCTATCAGTCAGATTTATGTACACTGTACTTAAACATCGTAAGTACGGTTTTATGATTGAAACTCTATTGATATACTATTGAAGGGCTCTAAATTGTTTGTGCATATGATGAAATTCTTGATTGTTTCTAAGCAATTGTATTATAATGTCAGTGCATCCACGAACATTGTCCAGCTACCCTTTTACAAATCTGAAAACAGTTGTTTTATCCCCAAAAATAACCAAACTACGAGGGCATCATTATTGGTTGTACGTACGTATGGATATGTGGAAATGAATTATTCTCTATCACTGCCCTCTCAGCAATTGATATAATATTCAGTGAATCAACAAAATACATTATTTGACATGTTCTACCATGTTGATAGCTTTATATATATTATGACAATGACAAGTGGTCACTGACAAATTTAATATAATAAAGTATAATGATAGTGAACAGCACCGGGCCATTTTAGGTCATGCCATCTCTATCAGCTCACTGTCAGTACTGGCACCCATGAAGGGCCACCTCCTCGTGGTGGGTGCTGGGTAACGCTAAGCGCCCTTCGAACCCCCGTTGTGGACCCGGGGGG